CCCCAGCCATTCTCTCTCGATCTGATTACCACCCACCTCTCAGCTCCCAGATTTGAGTTGACCAAGGATATAAAGGAAGCTTCAGAATAATGGAGAACCTCAAAGAGTCTAAATACCCAATTGAGGTTGTAGTTGTGCCCACTGGACTACCTTAGGTTAATGCCTGATACCCAGTGCCCATGCTACAAGCAGCTGAATCTTAACTGAGGAGAACCATGATTGATGATGTGATTTCAGCCATGAAGCCTAACTGGTTCCCATTGTCAGCTGGTCATTTTCTTTGGGTACCAGGAAAATCATCACAGCATCAGGGGAAAAAACTGGTACTTGTCTTTACTTTGTTATTGTTTTCTTCCTATTCTGAGACCTGCTTCAGTTACCAAACACTGTATCATGAGTGTTTTCCAAAACCAATAAAAAATGTTTGATGACATGATTTTCAATGGATGGAGCATCATTTATTTACCATTCCCTATTATTGAATATTTTAAAGGTTTTTAATTTTTCAGCATTATAAATAACATGATGAGCTACATCTTTGCATCTTTGTTACCATGGGATACAATATTGTGGTGGAATTATTGTTTCAAAAATTCCAAATATATTTTTCTAATTAAAACATTTTTTCAACATGCATATAGTGAAGTGTCTTAAGTGTACATATCAATGATTTTTAAAAAATATATACACACCCTTTTAACCATCCAGATCAAGATGCTGAACCTTTCCAACATACCAAATGGCTCCTTTGAACCGTTCCCAGGCAATAATCCTCTTAGAGATAACCACTATTCCGATTTTTATCATCAAGTTGAAATATTTTTAATGCTTTTAATACATATTGCCAAACTGTCTTCCAAAATGTTTGTAGCAAAGTACATTCCCACCAACAGCAAGTAAAAGTGTCTGGGTCCTTACTCCTTCTTGGCTTTACCTGGCAAAGGAGATGTGTTAGCACTTAAGACACACCCAGTTACAGTTAGCAACAGGCAGGGCCAGTCAAGAAGCTGCACTGGAGTTTAGCTGGGCACTAGGCAGCCAGTGGGAAGCACATCTAGGAGCCGGAGGCTGAGTGCAGTCCCAGTAGGCAGGCAACACTGTGTCATAGTCCATAAGTACCTTAGAGACCTGCAACTTCTCAGCTGTTTTCATTGTCCTATTTATTATTGTTCTCTGTTGCACATACCCAAAGTCTCCTTTTTATGTAGTTATCAAAATATCTCTAATGATCACTTAGTTATGCCTGGTACATGGTAGGCACTTAAAATACTTGGTGAATACATGGCACTTGTAATCTATTGCTTTTTTCTGCTTACTAGAACAAAACATGACACTATAAAAATTCCCCAGGTTGCAGAGGTACACAGTGCAGCAAGCTAGTCTCTCCCCCACAATCTTCCTCTCCAGAGATAACAATTTTCCAGTGTGAACTGCATTTTTCCTGATTTTTTTCTCCATACATAATTTTACTTTTGTTTATTTGTTTTGAGAGTTAAATATTCCTTTTAAAAAGCAAACTTTTTAAAATAATAAAATATATTTTTGTCAAGCATGGTAAGTTGCATTTAAAAGCTCACAAATACACCATATCCAAGTCCACCTTGAATCAATCAAACTCAACAGCAGTTCATTCTTGTACAATAAAACTCCCTTCAACTTATATTACAATACCTACCTAGTTCTTATGGTCAGGGGATGAAAACTGCGTTTCATTTCTGATCACTAATGTGTGGTGAAGAGCATCAGGAGAACTATATGAAAATGAACATAAAGAAGTTATTCTGATTTGAAAGTGCATTGTTTAGAAACATTGACAAAAACATCAAAATGATACAGGTATACAGACTTCTAGTAGATTTTTGATAGGCAAGTTCAGAAGAACAATCTGTTTCTTACTACACAGAGGAGGTCATTTCTTTTTAAGATCAAAGCCTTTTTATTTATTTTTTTCGCAGAATCTCACATTTTCCTAATTTGAAGGCATAAAAGAGCAAAAGAGGATAATAATGTATGCAGCAATGAATATACTAGAGAAATCTTGATATTCAAAAAAGCTAGATAATGCTTTTGGGAATTTTAGAATAAATACAACAGAAGTTAATAATCACAAATGTTAAGGTTAGAGCGAGGTCAGTCAATGCATGAACATAATTAACGTATTTTATACAGTAAACTATGCATTGAGGCAAAAATCTATATAGAAAAATTCACCCTATATATTACTTTTCAATCAGGATAAAAGGGCAGGAGATGAAGATGAGCAACCTTAAGCCCATAAGAATGGGTTGGAAGATCACTAAGGGGGTCTCACAGTTGGGATGGCCTGGTTTACCTGCCAGAGATGGTGGTTGCTGATAGGATTCAGTTAAGCTGTAACTGCCCTGTTTTTCCCCTCTAATTAATTACAGAGCTCAGTACATCCTTTTCCTTTATCCCCGTCAAAAAACATTCATTAAACACCTAATTAGATGTGGCATTGTTGCAGGCAGGGGGTGTGTGGATGTCCAACTGCTTGGTTCAGGTTTGGACTAGAGAGGATTTGTGTATTCAGTAGTTTCTGGGAATCAGTAGATTTGCTCCCAATTCACACTGCTCTACAGAGCCTGTACAAATGTTTACACTCTGTGACCCAGTAATTCCACTTCTGGGAATCTGTACTAAAGAAAGAGAAATCTGGACTGAAATTTATGTGCAAGGATGTCCATGGCAATATTATTTATAATAAGGGTAAAAATTGGGGAAAACCCCTGAAATGCCCCAAATTAGGGGAATGATTAATTAGATGACACCACAGTCATAAGATGCATATATTATATATAGCTATTACAATTGTGTTTTCAAGTGGTAGGGACATAGAAATATCAGTAATAGGAGGAAAAGCAGCCTAAATACTGCATGTAATAGTTTGATCCCAATTTTATTTAAAATTGCATATATATGCAGAGAAAAATGACTAGAAGGGAAGCCATGAAAATATTCACTGTAGTTATTTATGGGAGGTGGATTTACAGGTGACTACATTCTTCTTTATACTTTTCTGTATCTTTCAAATATATTCATTGAGCATGTATTATTATTAAAATCAGCAAAAAACCCCTCCAAATTCCATTTTATAAATAAGCAAGTGAATGTTTCATTAATTGCACTCTCTTCTCCCTGAGGGCTGCTCAGGACCCACCTCTCTCCCTCTCCCTCTCTCTCTCTCTCCCTCTCTCCCCCCCCATCACACACACACACACACACACACACACACACACAACACACACACACACACACACACACACACACACACACTGTTCTGCTTTTAGTCTTCCTTGCCTAAGTGCAAGTTTAGGGCAATATGTCACCTCTCTCAAGGGAGTTTGTATTGCTCTTTCATTGTGTGATTAAAGCTTGTTAACAATGGCAGGTGGGCAAGTCCTTTTTCTGGTTCAGTTCTTTCTATGCCCCTGGAATTACACCGGCAGGGGGCTGTCTACTCTGTGGATTGCCTGAAGGGAACAGCTTTCTGGAAAACTGACCTGCCTGGGAAGATAAAGGAACCCTGCCTGGGATGGGATGGTGGGAATTCGAGGGAAAGACAATAGAGAAAGGGATAAAATGAGCGACTTTGTTTATTAGAGAGGATTCCTTTGGTAAGGTTGTATTTTAGTGTCTTTCTGTTTAAAGGAAATGCCTGCATTGCAGTTCAACTGGACTGTAAGTTCTATGGAAGATGACAGGCATCTAACTCCATGCCTGCCACTCAGCTCTGCCCAGGAATCCAGAGTCCCACTATAATGAAGAGAGGGCAGTTCAATATAGGCAACCATCCTTTAACAAACAGCCAACAATTACAAAAGTAAAACATGCACCTAAATTTCAAACAATACAGAAGTATATAAATTAAAAAGTGAAAGTCTTTCCCTCCTCAATCTCACAGTTCTGTTAAAAGTCTGGTGTATATTTCCCCAGACTTTCCCTCTTTTCTTATGCACATACAGCAAATATGTGCACACACAGAGTTACACACGTAGAGACTGAAGAAAAATGGAACCAAACTACAAATATTATCCTGTAACTTACCTTTTTAAAAACCCAATACTATTTACTGGGCATATTTCCATGTTGATATGTATAGATTTACCTAATTTTTTTAGCAGCTGCATAACCTTTCATAGTGTAAATGTTTCAGACTTATTTAACCACGCCCCCATGGTTGGACATCTAATTTAGTTCGTTTTTCATAGTTACAAGCAATACTGCAATAAACATCCCTGTACTTATACCATGGAATCAATGTAAGGGGAAATCTTTCCATCAGTTGTGCATTACCTAACCATTTGCAATTAGTTTCCTGGGCTCCCGAGAACAGTTCTTAATGGCTATGCCAAATGTTCTGTAACGTCCCAAATGGTCCAAGGCATCTTTTCCAATTAAATTTCAGTCTACTACACACTGCATTTTCAATGACATTATGCTTTAAGGACAGGGCACTCTTACAGTACTGATTCAGTGTTATAACACTCTTATCTTTATTCTAATAAGCTGGACTTGAATGGGTGCTGCCTGAAGAGAGTGGGCGGCTAGAGGCTTTTGGTAAGCATCAACAGCAGCCCAACCCAGGGGAACACAATTATGTGATCTTCATGCCTCCACTTAAATCCAGCATTTCTCTACCACTTCTGGAAAGAAAACTCAACTAAAGATTAGGCACTTTATTTGCTACCTACCTGCTTGGGGGAAAGAAATAGGAGAGCACTAAGAATAACATCTGAATTAAAGGAGACTAAGCTGCTTTCTGCCCCTCTCACCTCCTCAAGTTCCCACCTTTATCCAGGTGTTCATTGTCTCCCACCAAGCCTCCTGGCTGTTTGCAGGCCTTTTCTCTGACACCCCACATGGAGGTGGCCTCAGCCATTGCCTGCACTCCCACCAAAATACATCTCTTTTTAGAATTCTCAGTTGCTGGCATTCATTTGTGTGTGACAGAGAGCGCTTAAGGCTTGGCATCAGGAGACCAATTTCTAGCCCTAGGCCTTTGACCAAATCAATGAATCTCTCTGAGCCTCAATTTTGACATCCGCAAAATGGGAACAATAATAATACCTTCTTCACAGGATTGATGTAAAATGAAATGAGATAGCATGTGGAAAACTACATTGAAAGCAAGGAATAGTGCTCTGTGATTGTAAAGTTCCATTATTATTTATGGATTGTCTCTTCTAGATAAACTCGTTTCATTTTATTTGTTTAAATGAGATTTCTGGAGACTACAATATTTTAACTGGGAGAAGCGCTTATTACAATGAAAATATCAGGCAGTGGAGCAGGCCAGTAGGGAAGATATTCTGAGATAGGGAAACCCTTCTAGACCTTCAGACCCATAGATGTAGGAGGTTATTGGCACCACCAAGACAGAAGGCTGGCCAGAGTCCCCAGGCAAAAATTTCAGCAAGGTCTCTGTTACCCTTTCTATCTCTAGGGAAGAGGAAGATGGGATGGAAGGGTCGAGGACAGTATAGATTTCTGTGGGCTGGCTTGACGACCTGTCCTCCCTAAGGAGATGTGTTCTAGCAACTGTTTGGTGTATTTTTAAAGGTCAGAGAGGCTTTGGCTCTATAGGATGGAGTGGCTGTGACACCTGATTAATGTCTGTGCCGAACTTTCCAGAATGTAATTTAATCAGCAGAATGATTGCAGCAAGCAGCTGCCTGGAGGAAAACGATCCTGTTCTAATGGTGGCTTGTTTGAAGTGTTGGCATTGTAGTGGAGCACGTACATTATTAGTCCAGCCCAAGGGGCCCCAACTAGGACACTGGATCAACTAGTAAGGAGATGCAGCAAATACCAGCAGCCCTCTATGGCTCTGTGTAGGGTTTCACTGTCAGGTTGTCAGCTCCTCCTACTCCTCCAAGGACCTTAACTGTCAGCCTCCCTCTCGCCCTCAGGGTGTTCCCTGTCAGCTTCTTTGACCTAATCTTATCATTATTATCTATTCCCTGAGTCCCCTCAGATCCATCACTCTTAGTGCCCCACCCCCAGCTTCAAGGCCCTCACTGACAGCTTCCTCCAGTACACTTATACATACATCCAAGCATACATCTACCCTCCCCCCACAGGTGTTCTCAAGGCTTAAGTGAAATGAAAAATGGCCTCTCCTCACAAAATTACTTAAGTCCCCTGGTCCAATTAACCCTTCTTGGCCTATTTTTCCATCAGAAACACAGGGGTTATTATACCGACTTGCAGAAATTCTGTAGTTGGTATTATACTTCCTAACAGGTAGAACATACAGGGCAGACATAGGTGACTGCCATGTCCCATCACTCAAATGACATGGTGTCCTTCATATTGGAGCTGACTATACTGGGCTTCCTCACCAGGATCTGTGATTTAAGATGTTTCCCAGTAGTGGAGATAGGTTAAAAGAGTTAGTCACACTTTCTTGCTGATTTTTGTTTCCCTAAGCCTGCCAGAGTGTACCCCAGAATCACCACAAGGATCTGACCCAGGATGATGGCAGTGCTTGGAATTAAGGCCCCAGTTTACAGTGGAAAATGTAGCCTTTGGAGGACCAAAAGGATCAAAATGGATAGGGCTGAAACAACTCCCTCTAAACTCAAAAAAAGAGCCTAGCAGTTTCTTCTTTGTGCGCAGTTGAGAGCACTTCAAGACTCCTAGGTTTTGCCTGAGGCACCATCCCACAGCCCTATGTATGAAATAAATTTGGAATATAGGAAGAACAAAAAACTGACTAGTGTTCCTGACA